CAGTGCTATCGGCATTGGTAAATAATAAACTAAATGGTAAAAGTGTCTTTTCCTGGCCTCATGAGGCACATTCAGCTGCTTAAAAACCCTGGTCTGCTGGCAGATACACAACTTTGCACTCCATCAGTCAACACGCATTGTCCCTTGCAGTGGTAAGAACTACAACCCTCTCTCTCCCTAGGTCCTCCATTTTCTGATTCAAGGTCTCAGGGGAAGGGAGGGTGCGTTAAAGCTTGCTTTTCATTTTACTCATTCCTGGTGAATATCTGAGTTCTCTTTAAAGATTTATTGTCTAAATGAAAACAACATGCTTTTAATTCTACCTCTAGGAAGTTAGTCATTAAGAAAGTAAACCAGGGTGATTTTTGTCCTGTGAACATGTCTATATGTGCCAGGTTTTCTTGGTATATACAACAGCTATATATATTACTTTTTATCCACAGCAAGAACTACCTAAATAACAACAGAGTGGTGAATTTTTAAAAGATGGCTTGGGATATTCTTAACAGTTAAAAATGATACACACACACACACACACACACACACACACACATATATATACTAGCCAAACATGTAGAAGTTTAATCCTCATGAAAAAATTCTTAGAGAAAAGTTTACCCTGGAAGCTGCATTCCCAAACAACTACTAGTGATATCTACATCAATCTTCTAAAAAGGTTTCCTGTGTTAAATAATGCCCAAATGGTGACATCAGTTAATATTTGCCAGGAGAACCACAGGGCTATCCATTGTGATATCATCTTCTCTGGTTATAAATGCATTTCAAGCACTCAGATTCTTTCCTAATACATTTTCCATAATTACTAGGGGTGAAAAATGAGTTGTAACTTTTATAAAAGATTAGGATTTTTATTTTGAAGGAAAAGAAAGACAAGATAGGTTGTAGTTATAAATATAAAGTTACAAAGCATATAAATTTTAAAACTATAACAATACAATATTTTATTACATTAGTTAATAAATGCACAACCCAGAGCTATTGTTTACAAATATCTTCTCCCACTTGGTTGGTTGCCTTTTTCTTTTGTTGGTGATTTCTTTTGCTGTGCAGAAGCTTTTTAGTTTGCTACAGTCCCATTCATTTGTCTTTGCTATTACTTCCCCTGCCTTTGGGGTCAAATTCACAAAATCTTCTCTAGGACCAAGGTCCCTAGGTTTGCTATCTATGTTTTCTTCTATGTAATTTCTTCTTTCAGGTCTTACATTTAGATCTTTGATCAATTTTGATTTAATTTTTGTACATGGGGACAATCTGCAGTCTAATTTCATTCTTTTGCATGTGGCTTTCCAATTTTCCCAGCACCATTTATTGAAGATGTTTTCTTTTCTCTGTTGTATGTTTTTGGCCCCTTTGTTGAATATACATGCCAATATATATGTGGGTTTATTTCTGGGCTCTCTGTTCCAACAAGGAGTTAATATCCAAACAATATAAAGAACTCATACAACTCAACACCAATTAATCCAATTAAAAACAATCCAATTAAACAATCCAAACAATCCAATTAAAAAACTAGCAGAGGATCTAAACAGACACTTCTCCTAAGAAGACATACAAATTGTCAGCATGTGTATGAAAAGATCCTCCACTTCACTAGTTTTTAGGAAGAGGCAAAGCAAAACTATCAATATCACTTCACTCTTGTTAGAATGGCTAGTATGAATTAGACAAGCAATAACAGGTGCTGGAGAGGCTGTGGAGAAAAAGGAATTCTCAGTCACTGTTGGTTGGAATGTACAGTGGTATAGCCACTATGGAAAACAGTATGGAGGTTTTTCAAAACATTAAGAATAGAGTTACAATACAACCCAGAAACCTCTCTGCTGGATATCTACCCCAAAAATCTGAAAACATTTATTCACAAAGATATGTGCATCCCTATGTTCACTGCAGCATTATACATGGTGGCCAAATCATGGAAACAAGCAAAGTGTCTTCTGATATATGATTGGATGAAGATGTGGTACATATGTACAATGGAATGCCACTCAGCCATATGAAAAGATGAAATACTTCCATTTCCAACAACAGGGATGGACCCTGAGTACATTATGCTAAGTGAAATAGAATGGAAAAAGTCAACAACCATATGATTTCACTCATATGTGAGATATAAAACTGAAAGCAACAAATGAACAAACAAGAGAAACAAACAAACAAAAACTCAGATGCAGATAACATACCTCTCCCTTTGGATTTATCTTTGTATTTGTTCTTGTATGATGATTGTTCTACTTTAGTAATTTTTAGCCTTAGCTTTCACATTATTTTAATAAAGTCAGGCGAAGGGAAAATATGTTTCCTTTTATGTTTAAATACGTTACTTAAAAATTTAACTTTAAATACAATTTAAAGGTATTTTAAAAGTCACCTTTACTTTTAATTCCAAATAACCTACCTTAAAATCTTTGTTTTATGATTTATTTATATAATAGAGAAAATTGGTCCAGGGCCTGGAATCAAATTCAGGGAAAGTAACATACAAATTTATTCAAATAGAATATAACACGTTCAAATTTAATAAAGTAAAATTGTTTAGGATAAAGAAATAAATCAACCATTTTTAATAGTAGTTATTCATGTCTATCATTTTATTCACTTCACATAGCATTTACTTATATATCCTTCCAAAGCCCTAATTGAGACCCTATTGTTTGGGGTAATTTAAGAAATTATGTAATCATAAAACTACAAATTAAAAATGTTTCTCAGTCAAGTTTGACCAAATTAAAAAACTAGTATTACTAAAAATGTGGGAAAATGGTTAAAATAACAACATTTTCTGAAATTAAATTGACCACATCTATTAATATTGTATCACTTAGGCACCTTGACGTAATAATCATTTTTATTAAAGTCCATATTTCTGAAAAAAATTGTTCATGTAACTACATTTTGAGGATGTTTATTTTTCTGTGTATGTAATAGCAAGACATTTTAAAAAGAACTAAAATTGAATGACTAAAGGTCATATAGAAATATAGATAATTTCCAATTTTATATATTTCTCAGGATTTAAAATATTAAAAGTAAAACAACCAGTATTTTTTAAGATATGCAGTCATAATTGTTAATGGATAAATTAAGAACAGGTCTTTCCATATAAAAAATATATATCTATTTCATACCCATCTGTGAGTATAGACATGCCTTATTTTTTTCATTTTTCTTGCTCTTAATAAATATCCTGATTATTTTCCATGTTTTAAATTTAACTTATTCACAGAAGAGGTAATATAAATGGCTAATAGAAATTAAAATCTTTACTTCAGTGGCAATAAAACAAAGTAAAACAGAATGTTCATTTTTAAAGTTATTAAATTTGTGAAGATTTAAAAAATGACAATTAGCAATCCTGGCTAGCATTTAGTGGGCTAGTCCCTTATTTATATATTAGTATAACCTCTCTGGAAAACAATTAGGCTATGTATATCAAGCAGTTTGAAAGTATTTAATTTTTTTGTATGCAGTAATTGCATATCAAATATTCTCTAAAAAGAAATGATCAAATTACAAACAAAGGCTTATATCAAACTGTCTATTCATCTATTGCTATTTTTATGTAGTTTAAATATCCATAAACAATAAGTGGTTAAAAATAAAACCTGCAATGATCAATAAGAATCATCACTGAAATAAGAAAATGCTAAAAATTAATTTCTGTAATAAACTGAATGCATAGTTCTATGTATAAAATATATAAACATAATAAAAACTGGCCCGAAAGGACTATACCAGGTCTTTCTAGTGGATATTCTGGAGGTAGTTAAGCACAACTTTTATATTCTTCTTTGTGCTTGAACATGTTTTCTAAAATTTTAAAACAATATTTACTACTTTTAAAGGAAGAATAAAAATATATAAAATGCATGCCTATCTACAAAACCCTTGAGGCTGCCCTTCATCTGTCCAATAAAGCTCAAATTGCCTAAACTCATGTTAAAGCCCTTATAACATGATGCTATCTTATCAATCCAATCATTTCTTTTTAATTTTCTTTCCTTTTTACTGATTTTATTGGAATGACATTGGTTAATGAGATGATATAGGTTTCAGGGGTACAATTCTTAACACATCACTTGTGTATTGTACTGTGTGTTCACCACCCTAAGTCAAGTCTTCTTCCATTACCATTTATCCCCACTTTACTTTCTTCTACCTCTCCTACCGTACTTTCCCTCTGGTAGCCACCATCCTGTTGTGTCTATAAGTTTTTTTTTTTTTAATCCCTTCGCCTTTTTCAATCAGCCCTCCACCCCACTCCCCTCCTCTACCACCCAACACTGTCCAGGATGGTTGCCAGGCATGTCATGGGCTATCTAGATGCTGCCCATGTTCTTCTGATCAGGCCTGGAGCTGCTCCTCTCCTCTAGGGTTTCTGATCATGACTTCTGCTTGTAACCATTTCAAGTCAACTTCAGATATTCATGACACTCTAAGCCAAGTCTGGCAATTCTACAAAATCATTTGAGACCCAGATTCCAATCAATGCAGCATGATAATTCCAAAGGAAGCTCCCTCTGAGAGCACAAATCCCATCAATATTTGTTAAATGAATTAAAAAAGCACAACTGTGATCATAACAGCAGCTAGCATTTCTTGAGAGCTTTCTGTTTATAATAAGGTACTGTGCCAATTTCACTTATCTTCCTTAATGCTTAGAATAAGCCTCCATTTTGAAGATGAAAAAATGAGCCTTAGATAGTTTATGCATATTTCCAAAGGAGATACAACCACTGAGGATCTGGGACTCAAACCCAGCTGTATGTGATACCAGTATCTCTACATTAACAAATGTCCTTATAGGAAGTCCACTAGAAATCATTTTGCATATAAACTTTTATTAATTAATATAAATGAAAATCCATGTAGCTAAGTTAAAAGATGTGTTCAGCTATAAAGTTTCCTCTTACATATAAAAACAGATAAAAAGCCAATACAATTTTTCTCTGAAACTCATTATACAGTAATATATTTACCTGTATAGGACCAGCCAATCTCTTCAACAAGTTTTCTCTGTTGTCTGTAGTATCCATAAGCCCAATCTATAACCAAGAAAAAACAATTGATCAATGTGCAGAAAAACACATCTAAATTTTTTAAAATGTATGATGCCCATATCATACATGCTATGACTGTTTTCTGATTACTCCTTTCCATGATCCTGCCCAATGTCTCCTCCCAACCCCGATCACCACCATTATAGATTCCACTGTGCCTTTTTGTAGACTGTAAATTTTAGGGAGCGCATTTAAAGAAAGCTGAAGTTCAGGCAGGGACAAAACAAGATATTTTGGATAAAGCAGGAACAATTTAGAGGAAAGGTCAGCTTGTCCTATTTTCAAATTTTTCTTAACCATTCCCCAAGTCTTACGGTTAATTTCCTATAATTAGCAATACTTTGGGGTTTATAAAAACCTAAGTTTTATCTGTAAATGCTTCTAGGAGAACCAGAGGTTATCATGCTTTTAAAATTTGCTTCTTTTACAGTACAAAATGAATTAGGTGCCTTGAAGATGTGGGACTTTAAATGTACACTTGTTGGCTGGAAGAAAGGTTATGTTAGTAGGTAAATCTGTCCCTCAGAGAACAAAGATGCCCAAGTCTGGTAATGCAGTGGGCAGCTTAGGACATCGTGAAGTTGGGTAGGATTGAGGGTGGGAGGTGGGGGTGGGATGGGAATGGGGTGGAGGCAGGTGGTTGAGGGAAAATGGAGACAACTGTACTTGAAAACAATAAAAAACTTTAAAAAATAGTTAAAAATGAAAAGCTTTGAGATGCCTCATGGCTAGAGAGAGAGGCTCTTGATTTAGGACACTGGAAAGAGTTATGGAAAGGAAAATGGACGGACACCTGTGATGTTGTGATTTATAAGAAATATACATTTTGTCTTCATCCCTGTTTCTAGCACAGAGCTCCTAAAACCTTGGGATTTCTTAATTGGAGAGAACCACAAACATGTGTCTTTTGTTACTTTAATGAGGTCACTTTGGGAGTTGTCCAGGGAACACCTGGTGATTAGGTTGTTGGAACTTTCAGATCCCTCTTCTGGTGACCCTGAGGGGACTGGAAAGGAGCTGGAGGTTGAACCAACTGCCAAGGGTCAGTGATTTAATTAACCATATCTACCTAATGAAACCTCCATAAAAACTCAAAAGAAGAGTCTTGGAGAACTTCCAGGTTGAGAGGTTCCCAGTTGGTGAACACATGGAGATTTTGGGTGAGTGGCACATCTGCAGAGGGCATGGAAGCTTTGAGCCCTTTCTCCATACTTGTCCTTTGCAACTTGGCCATTTCTGGGGTATATGCTTTCATAATAAACCGGGGATCTAGTAAGTAAAATGTTTCTCCAAGTTCTGTGAGCCATTCTAGCAAATTAATCAACCCAAGGAGGGTCTCATTGGAGCCTCTAATCTATAGCCAGTTGACCAGAAGCCCAGGTGAGAGCATGGATTTGGTGACTGATATCTGAAGGAGTAGGGACAATCTTGCAAAACTAAGCCTATAGGATCTGATGCTATACCATGTAGACAGTGTCAGAACTGAGTCAAATTGTAGGACACCCAGTTGGTGTTCAAGAATTGTTGGTGTAGGAACCCCCCTGCCCCACAAGTAGAAATTGTTTCCAGAATTTTTTAAAGCCAAAGCCTCACTGTGTATAATTCAAAATTGTGCCTGGAGCTGTGCCTGTACCAGGAGATGGGAATGTTATGATTCATCCTCCTTTCTGTGTCATTGTCCCTTAACACCCAGACAGTCAGTACTAACATTAGTACTCCAGTTCAACTATGGCGTGGGCAAAATAAGTCTTTTGGAGCTAGGTTTGGAACCTGATCAGTAGGTTCAAAACTGTTGAACAAAACTGTTTCTGTAGAAATGGCTACAAATAGTTAAAATTGAGGTTCTGTCCACGTAGCCTTTATTAGAATACAAGGATTCATTTAGACCGCCCTGTACTACACCACACCACACCACACCTGCATCTGTATTGATGTTCCTTATCAGTTAAGGGCAGAAACTACTTTTTACTGACAGTTCCCATTTTCAGGGAAGCAAACATCTTATGGACATTTTAGAAATTATTTTCCTTTCTTCCACTGACATAGTATATGACTATACTCTCTTATTAGCACAAAATGGTAATAAATAACTGCTACAGAAACTGAAAATCAGGCCAGCTACCAGAAATACATATTTTGGATCCATAGATTAATGAAAATGTGCTTTGGAGAAATAAGGGTTTTGGTTTTGTTTTAATATTTTTATAACCATATATTGGAATATTGGCCAAGTACAACATTGCAACACATATCTGTTTTTATAACAGCTTTATTAAAATATAATTTACATGTCTTACAATTCACCCATTAAAGTGTGAATTTAATGGCTTTTAGTATATTCAGAGACTTATGCATTCATCACCACAATTTTAAATATCTTCATTGCTTTTCAAAAAAAACCATACCCTTGCTGCCATTCCAACCCCACCCCAAAAATCCCCAGGTATAGGCAACCACTAATCTTTGTATAGATTTCATATTCTAGACACTTCATAAGATAGAATCACATAATACACAGCTTTTAGTGACTGACTTCTAGCATAATTTATTTTCTACGTTCATCCATGTTGTAGCATTTATCAATACTTCATTCCTTTTCATTGTCTACAAATACTCATTGTATGGTGACCAGTATGGCCTTAAAGTTCTCCTTAGCTTGAATAAACTTTGGCCTTGCTTCTTCTTAACTCCAGGACCCTGACCTAACTTTTCTTAGAGGTTAGAAAACTTGTAGTTGTTAATTCTCTGTATCTTCTTGAGATGTCAATCTTTTTTCACAGCCATGTGGCAGTTTTACAACCAGAAATCTACTCACAAGGACATGGGAATCATCTTTTTGAAAATGTAATCATCAAGAAATAGCATTCTTACCCTTATTTCCCTGCTGCTATGAGAGGGTAGGAGTTGCAAAAACTACCCCCTTGTCATAAAGTTATTCATTTATTTTTCCTATGGATAAAACCACTTGGAAAACACAGATGGTCTGTGATTTCCCCCTTAAGTTTCTATGGTCTTTTTCTACTCCAATCTTTAAAAAATCTTACCCTCTCTACTTCAATGGAGTTTAGTACAGATAATTCTGGTTTCTCTCCCAATTACAATACCCTTGAATAAAGTCTTCCTTGCTTCCTTGTTTAACCTTGTCTGGTATAATTTTGTTTTGATAATGGATATACCACACCCTATTTATCCATTCATAAATTGATGGATACTTAGGTTCTTTTTTGTTATTATAAATAACATTATATTAATATTCATTCATATATTTGGTTGTTTTTTTTTACTTAAACATGAAATGTTAAGTTCCTACTTCATTTTTCAAATGGTGTTGTCCCATAATATCATGGTCATTTGTGATTAAATTCTAGGGACAAGTGTTTCTTCATGATCACGGGATATATCCAAATAAGTGTTAGAATTAGAAAAGACCACAAAGTCCATTTGACTCAGACCTCAACAGTCTACAAAATAATAATTCCTACTTTAGAGAAAAGGCAATTTATGTCAAAGAAATGTAAGTGGTTTGCATAAGCAGTGACAAAAATGAAAACAATAATGCAGAGCTCCTGCCTCTTACTCTGCTGAGCCTTCCCCAGCATCAAGGATTCCTAACAGTCCTGAGCTACTCTTTCCTTGAGGGGAGTTGCTTGAGCAGGAACCCCTATAGCATTTACACCTTCAAGAGAAACAAAATAAAGCAAAATGATACACCTAGGCATTCATCAGCGGGAATTATTTAGATATATGAATTATTAAGAACTGACTGTATACCTGACCTGACCTAACCATCAATTGGAATTTTCCTCTGAAACATTTTGCACTGACCACAGGGAAAGGTTTTTTCATTGCCTATTTATATGTTTTTTTTTGTTTGTTTTAAGATTTTATTTTTTAGAGGGGAAGGGAAGGAGAAAGGGAGAGAAACATCAATGTATGGTTGCCTTTCATGCGTCCCCTGCTGGGAAATGGCCTGCAGGGAACTTGCCTGAAACCCCAGTATGTGCCCTGACTGGGAATCGAACCGCGATTGTCTGGTTCACAGGCCCACGCTCAATCCACTGAGCTACACCAGCCAGGGCTATATGTTTTAAATATAAATATTTTTAAGTGTAAGACTTTTTGACCTATAAATGCATCTTGATGATTTCAGATTGAATACCATATAAAACCTACATTTAGTAAGCATTACACTGAAATAAATAAAACAGTAAGTCTTTGTTTTAATGATTCAGTCTAAAAGATGACAGCAAATACCAGAACATTTCAGCTTTGGCCGTAGGGCTCTGACACTACACAATGAACATTTGTCCTTGGTATTTAATTGCTTATATTAAGAAAGCTTTCTTTAATACAAGATTCCCAGGTGTCGGTAGCTCTATTCAGTTCCTTTCCATATTGTTCCCTTAATTGTTACTTCAAACAATCCGTTATACATTCATATGCTAATTACATAGTCTTTGGGCGTGAGAGAGTACCCCATTTTTAAAATTCTTCTTAGAGTCTGATAGATGAGATGTGATAGCTCCAATGAATGAGAAAATAGAAACTAGGTTCACTGTTTTCATTGATTACATACTTTGAAAATCAGTAAATCCTATATAAAACAGAACCTATCAAAATAGTTTAAAATTTTTAAATCAATTATAATAAAATTAACTTTCTTTTCTGTTTCTGTGAGTTTTAGTTTCTTTAGTTTTAATATATATTTTTCCACTTAAAAGTATTTGCCAGACCTGTTGTAGTGTGTTTTGCAGTGCTCAAAAACTAAGAAATAAATTTCAGAAATGAACTGTACAACATGACACACAAGAAAATATACACTGAAAAATATTTTTAAGGCTACTCTAAAATTTGTCCTAAAAACTCTTCATGAAGTGGTTTTGCAACTTGTTACAAAAATTGAGAGAAATTTGCTTTATTTTATTTCAGGTAACCTTAAAAGTTTTTTGTTTCAATATATTCCATCTTCTACTTACCCTGAGCAC